GGACTTCTTTGCACTTACTTGATTTGCCTTCTCTTTTCTCCACAACCCCAACTTAGGCTTTTGGCCTAAGTTGGCTATCAAACAAACCACAGATCATGAGGATTATGGTAATGGGTTAATAAAAGGTAGCAATATTATCAAGTTTCTTCCAAGAAAAGGTTTGGGCTCAAAGGGTGCTCAAAAGAGTTTCACACACTCACAAGGTAAGCCGCAAAAGAGATATACTTTCAAATTAGTTCACACTCTTTAAAGTTGCCTCTGATCATCTCAAGAAATTGCATTACTTAGTCAACCGGACCAACGGGGCAAATTCTAGATGTCATCATGCATGGTTCACAGTAAGCTTATCACACAAGGCATTGACACCAAAGTCAAACAAGACTCCACACTTTTGCTAGTGTGCAATGTTCATCACAAGAGACTCGATTCGATAATTGGCTAGTCACAACGAGATGCAAAGAGTTCACATATTGTGTATGCAACTTCAATTAGCCTCGTTGTAGCCGCGCATTCATTTATGTTCGATTATGAGCACTATTCGAGTCATCGTTATTGATCAAAATCGGTACTCAAATTTGCAAAAGAACAGCCACATTCAACATATACAAGAGGTGGCAAAAAAATTTCGGAAGGGTCAAAAATTTTTTACAACTAAAAGCAAGGAGCCACAAGCTCAAACCTTCCGCAAAAAGCAATGTATAACACGAATTTAGCTCAAAGCCTAATATTTAAACAAAACGGAGTCACAAAATATGGGCTTCACGCCACTACAAATAAAAACATTTGTCCTCAAATGCAAATAAAAAAAACATCCACAAGTCGAAATAAAGTAAGGCAGAGATGGAGGTAAACAGAGGGTCCTGTCTACATAGTTGCTCCATCCGTTTGGGCATCAGTGCCCGATGTATCACTCTGAATCTGAGCATCAGTGCTCGGGGTCACTTCAGGAGGAACGATAGTGCCAGATCCACTAGGGGCGGTCACATGCGAGTCCTCCAGAAAGACATGCACAGCTGCAAAGAATCCCCAGCCCATGAAGGAACATTAGGATCTCTGATAGTGGTCTTCCTGTCAGATGTGGACCTCTTGTCCTTGCCTTTCCCACCCTTTGTGGGAAATTTCGTAGGTTTGCCTCTGGATATAGCTGCATCCTCATTTATCGTAATCCCCTTGGTCTTTTCTTGGGCTGGTAGTATTCTTTCAGTTGCTTTTGATCTAGTCATGTCTGCAAAACCTCGAGGAGAAGTTAGGAAATATCCAAACAAAAGCACAGAGAATTAGGCGCAGACAGACTCGCCGAAATAGTTGGTGGGTCGCCAAATCGCTTTGGTGAACTGGGTTAGCCCACCGAAAGTTACAGTGTAAACAGGGTTCAGGGGTGCAAACAAGGGCGATTAAGAAAACTTTCGACGAGTTCCTTCGGCGACCTCAGGCTTCTCACCGAAAGTTACAGAACCAATCATCAAATAAAGCATGAAATTAAAGGTGAGATAGGGACATTAGGCGACCGCCGAGTGGTTCAGCGAGCTCGACCCAACTCGCCAAACAGCCCAATGTGCCTATTTTTAACCCAACTTCTTGACTTCAACCCCGCAATCTCCGAAAACAAAATCAAAGCATGCACTAGTTAAATTATGCTCAGACCCATAACACCTAAGCATAAACCCACGAAATTACTTCATTTTAAGCACAAGACTATGGTATTGCGACAATTAAAACATTACGGGCAAGATTATCAAATTAAATCAGGCATTAAAACATACTAATTCTATCAAAAAGGCCCAGTGCACAACAACACGATAAGATTATTGCAATTAAGTACAATTGCGATAAAATAATCTCGGGGTTCGGAAAACCAACCTTTGATGTCGATTAATGAAAATTGAAATGTTAGGCGGCAAAGTAATCCACAATCCGAGCACCAATCAACAACTAAAATACTCTAAAGATGCAAGAAATATAGAAACTAGAGTGTGGGTGTGAGTTTGGGAAGATAAAAAGTGAGGGAAAGTGAATGAGTTTGAGCCTTTTAAACCTTTGGCATGGAAAACCGTCCATTTCACGCCAATTCGGCGACGTTAGTCGTGCTCGCCGAGCCACTCGGTGACACGTTGAGTGGTCATTCACCTCGTCGAACATTACAGGACCTCCAGTTATTGTGGGAGTCCAACGACGGTCTCCGTCGGGATCACCGACATGATCGGCGATTCGTCAATAATTTCCTGAGCTCGCCGAGGTTTACAAACTCCAATGTAAAATTGTCTTGAGTCTGACGGCGGTTTGGGTCGGGGCCGCCGACCTCTTCGGCGATTCGCTGAATGGACCTGATGCTCACCAATCTGCACTTTTTGAAAACTTTCCACACTTCCCTCTACACAATCAACATACCATTATTTTATCAAAATAAAATAAAGCAATAAGGGTTCTTGGGTTGCCTCCCAAACAGTGTCGTCCACCTTCAAACCTCATTTTTGGGGTTAGCCTTAGTATTACTAGACAAACCCCCATGCTGTCTCGGGTTGAGATGAGACGATTTATGACCCATTTGGGTCTCCAATTGCTTGATCGACACTGAATGAGAGGTGTCGGTCTGGCTAAGGGTAGACACATCTTCTTTCATTTCCTTTAAAATCTTGTCTAGCCCTTCAACTTTGTTGAGGATTCGAGAAAGCATATCCTCAAACTGACCACCTTCCGAATCTTTTGGCTTTTGGCGCTCGTGGGGAGGCACATACCTATAATTCTCCCCATCATTCCAATTCGAATTACGGTCCCTCCATTCACAATCTCGATCTTTCCAACCTTTATCCCTAGCCCAACCTTGGTTACCACCCTACCTCAGGTAGTTTGAATGATAGCCATCGCCTTGGTTGGCTAGGAAATTTACCTCTTCATTATACAAGGCTTCAAACTTAGACGCATCCGGATTAGCACACCTGACACCCATGACATTGACACTTCGAGCACCAGCTCGCATGATATTTTTAGACAAAATATCAAGTTGTGTCATGATCTTGGCCATGTTTTGGTCCTTCTCCATTTGTTCCTTAGTTAACTTGAACGTGAGAGGGGAGACCTGGTCTTCACGGGTATACCACGCCCTGTTTATGGTAGTCATGCCATCTAAGAGCTTAGCAGCTATCACATAAGGTTGTTGCATCAGACCTCCCGGAGAGAGTTGGTCAGCAACACCGTTATTTACCAAATCCAAACTCCGATAAAAATACTGCAGCAACACGTTATCAAGCAAGCCATGGGTTGGGCATTGAAGCACCAACATTTTGAATCACAACCAAGTTTCATGAATAGGCTCGCCTTCTAGACGCGTGAAGCTCTGAATGTTGTCCCAAAGAGTCATCATCTTCGAGGGAGGGAAAAATCGCACTTGAAATGCGGTGACCAACTCCTCCCACGAAGTGATTTATTCACGTGGCAATTCAGCCAGCCACTTGCACGCCTCACCCATCAACGAGAACGGGAACAACTTCAATCAGACTGATTCTTGGGAGATATTCTTGAAGGAGAATGGTCCGCATACATCCACGAAGTTTCTAATGTGCTCATGGGGATCCTCATGAGCCAAACCACTAAAAAGCCCTTTCAGTTGCAAGAGTTACAACATAGTACTCGTGATGTGGACCACCGCATTCCCTTCGGCCGGAGGTAAGAGAATGGCACCATACCGCCCATGAGATGGGGGTCATTAGCATGAGGCTCATTGACATCGTTGAGATTTCTGATGTCGTCTTGATGGCCTATTTGGCTACCATTGTTGCTGTTCACGCTCATACTTCCTGTTTTCAACACAAACAAGTAAAACAAAGCTAAAAATTAAGTAAGTAGAACTACAACTAACAAGAAAAAAATTCAACTTAACTGAAATTTCTCAATTAACACCACTCCCCAACAACAACTATTTTGATGTTTGACGTAATCAAAGACACAACTTCCAATTCAAGTGTCAACGATTGCGTGTAGTAATATAACCCAATCGAATGGGTTGGGATCGAGTCCAAAGGGAGCGGTTAGTAATCGAGAATTAAATAGAAAAGTAAAACTTAGTTCTAATCAATCATAGCTATAACATTAAGAAAAAAAACATATTAAATCAAAAAGTGACACGAATATCAATTATCAATGGGGGGTTTGTATTCAAATAATAAACCAAAAATAGCAAAAAATATAAAGATTCGAGATAGGAAGACGGGATTCTTGGGATGTGATAGAAATATGGGATAAAATAAACAACCGGGTAAATGCTATTGATAGTAAATTGCTGAACATTTGTAACTAAGCTAGACTTTAGTGGGGGGTAAATTTTCTCTCGAACAACTTACCCTGAATTAACTCAGTTTCTCTCAAACACCGAGTTACAAGAATTAAGCACAACCTTCGCCTTAGCCCATTCACTCTCTCAAGCTGAATGTGTGGGAGAAGGTCTAGGGTTCACTCTCTCGAGCTGAACCCACGATGACCCAATAACCACAGGCTATCGATTTAGTATTTTTGGTTTTAAAACATCTCTCTCGAGCAAGCCAAAAACACTAAGATAAAATCTTATTTGCAACTACGATCCCATTAAGTTCAAACACAACTACTAAACTAAATCACATTTAAATATCAAATAGACTAACAGTAAGCAATACCCAACAGTAAATTTAAACCATATTCACATAATCACACCCCAAGAATTGGGGTTTTAGCTAGACATGAAAAAGAGATAGAAATCGATACCTAAATGTGTTTCCATCAAATGGGTATGATAAATAATGTCTTTAAACACGTCTAAGATGAAGATTCTTTGATGCGAGGTTAAGGCCATTCGGCGACTCGCCTAATGCCTTCATTTTTTCATTTTTTCAGCCGCCTTGTTCCTTCTTTACTTGATAGCGTCCATGCTTTGTCTCTCAACTCAAATACCTGAAACTTAAGGATTTACATCAGTTATTGAGACAAAATATGCATTTGAGGACACTAAATCGATCAAAATAAAGCCCTAAATGAGTCCAAATTGTGGACTCATCAGCACTGCACCATCTATAGGAGCTATGGAGAGATTCATACTTGAACATGGTACTTTCACTATCAAACCTGTAATATTATACTATAAGGATGAATATTTTGTGGTGAGATTTGCGAATGAGGAAGAGAGGGATATGGTACTATGTTCAGGGCCTCATTATCTAATTCGAAGGCCAATTATAATGAAACCATGGGTGCCTGAATTTAATTTCAAGGAGGAGATACTGATCACTATTCCATTGTGGGTTAAATTTCCAAACCTTCCCCTTAACTGTTGGAATGCAGTGGTACTGAGTAAAATTGAAAGTAGCCTGGGGAAGTCACTGTATGCAGATGAATGTACATCCCAAGTGAATAGAATTTCATTTGCAAGAATTTTAGTTGAAATGGATATCACAAGACCCTTGCGTAAAATGATTAAGATGTATGATCCTAAGGGGAAAGTCTTAGAACAACAAGTATGGTTTGAATGGAAGCCTATATTCTGCTAGAAGTATCTCCAAGTAGGAAACTCATGCGTGGAAAAGTGATGAGTCCACAAATTGGACACATTTTGGGCTATAGTTTGATAGAATTAGTGTCCTCAAATGCATATTTTGTCTCAATATCTGATGTAAATCCTTAAGTTTCAGGTATTTGGAGTTTGAGGCAAATCATGGACTCTACTTGGCAAGAAGGAACAAGGCAGGTGAAAAGAACGAAGAAATGAGGGCCTGAAGATCGCCGAGCCCAGTTGGCGAGTCACTAATCGGCCTGGAGATCGCCTTTTGTTCCAGTGTGCTGAGCCCTGAAGGGAAAGATCAAGTTGGCGATGAAATGGAGCAGTCGGCGTGACGCCGAGCAGTTTCGTGAAGCAATACTATATCGCCCAATAATTCAGAAAGCGAAAATGCTGAAGGAAAGAGCTGAAAGGCGATGAAGCAGACCAAAGGGCGGATCGCCGAGTGCATCAGCAATCCCGACTAACTGCGCCGAGTGATCCTTAGCAACACATTTTTAGACAACTATAAATACTAGTTTAAATTTTTATTTTAGAAGGGAATTTCAGATACAATATTTTATCTTTCTAAGTTTCAAGTAGAGAGACCTTGTTCTTAGCTTTTGAAGATTTGAAGACTTCCAATTCCAAGAAATTGGAAGTGGGTGTTGAAGATTCTTCATCTTAGACTCATTTAAAATGAAAATAAATCATACCCAGTTGATGTTACTTTGATTTGGTATCATTCTCTTCCTTTTCTTAATGTCTAGCTAAAACCCCAATTCTTGGGGTGTGATTTTGTGAATATGGGTTAAATTTACTGTTGGGTGTTGCTTATTGTTGGTATATTCGTTGTTTAAATGTTATTTCATTTAGTAGTTGTGTTTGAACTTAATGATATTGTAGTTGCAAATACGATTTCATCTTAGTATTTTTGGCTTGCTCTCGAGAGAGGTTTCAAAACTAAGACTACTAAATCGATAGCCAGTGGTTATTAGGTCATCGTGGGTTCAGCTTGAGAGAGTGAATCCTAGGCCCTTTCCCACACTTTCAGCTCGATAGAGTGAATGGGCTAAGACGGAGGTTGTGCTTAAAAGCGGCAACTCGGTGTTCGACAGAAACCGAGTTGATTCGGGGTAAGTTACTCGAGAAAGAATTTACCCCCACTAAAGTCTAGCGTAGTTACAAATATTCAGCGATGTACTATCAATAGCATTTACTCGATAGTGTATTTTATCCCATATTCCTATCACATCCCAAGAATCCCGCCTCCTTATCTCATTTCCTTATATTTTTGTCATTTTTGTTGATTAGTTAATACAAAACCCCTTTGATTATTGACGCTTGCGTCACCCCTTAGATTTAGTATGTTTTTATTCGTTAATATTTACGGCTATGATTGATTACAACTTGATTTTATTTTTCTATTAATTCTCAAAACCACTCCCTGTGGAAACGATCCCAACCCTTGGTTGGGTTATATCACTACACGCGATCGTTGGCACTTGAACCGAAGTAGTGTCCTGATACGTGAAGTCAAAAAGCCAGATGCACAGATACAGAAAAAAGGATTGAATCAAGGTAAGAAAAAAGAATGGGTTCCTGTTACTGATAGAGGGAAAGAGCAGAACAATGATATAGGGCAGGATACAGTACAAATGCAGGAAGTGATGGAGCATCAACAAAGGGATGAAGTGCAAGAACGGGGAGGGGGGTGACAAATTGTAAGACACAAGAGTAACACAAAAAGAGACAAACAGGTTGCTAATACTAATGATACTGGGGAACATATCTACAATAAAGGCCAACATAGTGGAGAAACAAGTGGGGGAAGTAGAAAGGTACCAATAAAACGCCCAATATCTCTATGATAGTAACATGGAATGTGAGAGGCTTCAATCAAGCGGTTATACACAAAGAGTTGAGGCTGTTTCTTAAAAGGAATAAGGTTAAACTTATAGCAATTTATGAGCATAGAGTTAGAGCTGATAAAGCAAGTTTTATTATAAAAAAGAACTTAGCAGGATAGAACTGGTGCACAAATGATAGTAATAATGTGAGAGGGAGGATATGGGCGATATGAAATCCTAATGAAGTCAATTTTACTAAAAAAAAAGGATGCAGACCAATATATTCATGGGCTGGTGATGATCAAATACAATAATATTCAGTTTCCGTTCACTACAGTTTATGGTCTCCACACAATAACTACTAGACTACCTTTGTGGACAACAATTAAACAACTAAATAATAATGTAAATGAACCTTGATTGATTATGGGGAACTTTAACTCTATTTTTTCACATGAGGATGGACCAATTGGGAGTCAAGTACAAGATATAGAGACAAGAGATTTTAGGAAGTGCCTAATGGATTGTAATCTGGCATAATTGCATATAGAAGGAAGGGAATACACCTAGACAAATAGACATGTGTATAGTAGAATAGACGAAGCAATAGGCAATACTACATGGATGGGTATAATGCCAACACAAGTCATGGCCATGGAGCCATTATTTTCAGATCATTCACCATTGGGGTTGATAGTAGAGGATCAAAGGGATACACAAAAAATACCATTCAGATTCTACAATTGTATAGGAAAACACCAAAAATTCAAGGAAGGGGGGTACATGTAGGCTGGCAGATAAAAGGAGGTGGTCTGAAGGGAATCTGTTAGAACCTGAAATTGATAAGGAGAGAAATGCAGAAACTGAACACAAATGAGTTTATGGGTGTTGCTGATAGAGTGCAAAGAATTAAGAGGGAGCTTATACACATGCAGACTAACATGAGGGTAGTTACAGAACATCAAAACATGATAGAATAGGAAAAGCTACTGAGAACAGAATTGATAAAATATAGTCATATAGAGGAGAGCATATACAAGCAGAAGTCAAGAGTGCAATGGCTTAAGTTAGAAGATGCTAACACTACTTATTTTTTTGCTAGTATGAATAACAGGAAGGCGCATAATCAAATCACCATACTAACAAAACAGGATATCACAATCATTAGAAGAATGAATGAAATAAAGCAGAAAGTTGTGGGATTCTACCAAAAGCTATTAGGGAAGAACACCAGGCACATGCCAGCTGCACAACCAGAGGTATTCAAAGTTAGATCCAGACTCAACAAGATGCAACAGCTTAAACTTATTCAAACTTTCACTGAAGATGATGTCAAGGCAGCATTGGGAACTCTAAAGCACTAGGAGAGGATGGATTTAATGCTTAATTCTTCAAAAAGCTTGGCCAGACATAGGGGAGGAGGTAACTGCAACTATCCTAAATTTTTTCCAAACAAATGAAATATATGGTCTTGTGATCAAGATTGTTGTCACTCTTATTCCTAAAACACAACACCCTACCTCAATTAAAGAATATAGGCCTATATCTTGATGCACTGTATAAAATCATTTTAAAAATGCTCACACAAAGACTTCACAGTGTAATGGAATATCTAGTGGATCCAAGTCAGGCTGCTTTTGTACCTGGTAGAATGCTACATGATAATGTGATAATGAGTCATGAATTGGTTAAAGGGTATGGAAGGAAAGGAATTTCTCCAAGGTGCATGTTTAATATTGACATGCAGAAGGCATATGATTCCTTGGAATGACACTTTCTGGAGGAGGAGGTTTTAGTAGGAATGCAGGTTCCACAAAAGTTTGTAGGCTAGGTAATGAATTGTGTAATGACAGTATCATATTCAATTATGATAAATGGTTGTCTTAGTCCAACATTCCAAGCAAAGAGAGGGGCGAGACAAGGTGATGCCCTATCACCATATCTTTTTGTTCTTGCTATGGATTATCTCACCAGGCTGCTGAACTCTGAAATCCAAACCAACATTCAAATACCATCCTAGATGCCACAAACAACACATTATACAATTAAGCTTTGTTGATGATCTCTTGTTGTTTAGTAAAGGAGATGTTGCTTTCACTACCTTATTGTATGAATGTTTCCAACAATTTTAAAAGGTGTCTGGACTGATAGCTAATCAGGCTAAGAGTTGTGTGTAATTTGGTGGAGTGTTAGAGGAAATACAATAAAAGATATTGCAACATACATGTTTTAGTAAAGAAGATCTTCCATTCACATACCTTAGGATGCCTCTGAATTCCAAGAAGTTATCAATAAGCCAATGCCAGCCTCTCAAAGACAAAATAATGTGCAAAATCACTACATGGACAGTTAAATTCCTATCCTATACAGGAAGGCTCCAGTTGGTGAATAATGTCCTCTCAGCCATGCAAAGATTTTGGTCACAGATATTCCTAATGCCTAATAAAGTTTTACAAAAAATAGAATCCATGTGCAAGAGGTTTCTATGGAATGGTTAAAAACAAGGTAAAAGGAAAGCACTCATAACATGGGAAACACTGTGTTTGCCAAAGGCTGTTGGAGGGCTTAATATCACAAACATGTATGTATGGAAAAAAGCAGCTATTTTAAAACATTTGTGGAACCTATGCAAGAAGAAAGATAAACTATGGATTGTATGGGTTCATACCTTTTATCTAAAGGGTAGGAAACCATGGGAAGTGAAAATCAAGAAAAAATCATGGATTGTGAAGACAATTTTGAAAGCAGGCCAATGGCTAGCAGAGAGGGGCTTGCAAATAACTGAGATCATGGAGGAAACATAATTCAACTTTAAGAAAATGTATCAGGAACTAAAGGGGGAGTACAATAAGGTATCTTGGAGAAGATTGACCTGTAACAATCTTGATAGTCCTAAATGGGTTTTTGTACTATATGCGGCTATACATAGAAGGTTGTACACCAAGGATACACTAAGTAACTAGGGAATAATTGAAGATGATGTATGTTCATTATGCAAGGCATAAGTTGAAACACATCAGCATTTGTTTTTCTCCTGCAGCTTCTCAAAAAAAAAAATATGGCAAAAGATGCTCAACTTGCTACTCATTTCAAGGGGTTGTGAAGGATGGAATGAAGAACTGGAATGGGTCACAGGGCATGCTACAAGAAAATCTGTAATGGCAGATGCTTATAGAATGGCACTGGCAGCAACAATATACCATATATGGCAGGAGAGGAATCTCAGAATTTTCCAACAAAAGAAAGGACCACAGGCATGACTAGTAGATTAATTACACAAGAGATTCATCAAAGAGCTAGCATGATACCTAGACTAACAAGATATATGCAGAACCTTAATTTTTATCCCTAGCCTAGTTTACAAAAAGTTTGATTGAGTTTTAATAGGACTCTGAGAGTGGAACATGTCCATATCCATGTAACGACCTTTTTTCGTCGTTATAGCAAAGCCAATGGGAAAATCTTTTGAGCCGAAAAACTTTTTCGTAGTAATTTAGAATTTTCCAACCTAGTCCAGATTTGGACGAAATCAGAGTCATTAAAGTCTAGAGAAATCTGGTAACAATTGGGTGATCTAATTATGAATTTTATCACATGAATAGATAGCTAAGACGTTAAGGAACCCGTACAACTTTACAGAATTGAATTCGGGCGAGTAGAACTCCCGAAATTGATCTTAGCGTGAACATATATTTTCTGAGTGTCATGGGATGAAGGTGTGTTGTGAAATGGGAGTTTGGAATTCTTAAATCGACTCACTGGTTCTATGCAAGCCGCCAATGTGGGATTATTCCCGCCAGGGTGGGGCTACTGTAGCAAAGTGGGTACCGCCATAGCGGGATAGTCGCGATTTAAGTAAAAAATAAACCCCAAAACGTCTTTATTCTGCACTTTTCAACTTTGGGAGCTTGGAGACGACCCCAGGTGTTTTCTTAACGGGTTTTCACCTTTCTTGAGGCTAAAAGTAAGGTTTTAACTCCCCGAATTCATTTTTTGATCGGTTGAACGTAATCTAATGGGTAATTATCAATGAGAGAGGGTTTTGATATGGAAATTATGGAGGAAAAATCCCTAATCTTGGTATGGGGGTCATGGGTTTGACCCAGGGTTGATAGAATTGTTGGTAATTTGGGTAATTAGTTATTGATTATTGATTCTCGTATTATATTAATTATTTGTAGACCAAGAACAAGCGGAACGAATCCAAAAAGGAAGAATTCAAGGTTTCTTAGGGAATTCGAGCTTGTTTCGAGGTAGGTGATGATTGTGATTTCATGATTGTGTGATATATGTTTGTCTTGCTTCATTATGATACATGCATGTATGCGAATGTTGCGTTATTGATCACACTAGTTGAAAAAGAGATAGATGAATGATGAATGTCATGAATCATGACTTGATTGTATGATTATGAGAATATACTTGTGATTGTGATTGTGATTGTGGCTTGTTGAATGGATCGGGTGTTACGTTCTGACACACTAACTTGGATCGGTTGCCACGTTCCGACATAAATATGAGATCGGTTGCCATGTTTCGGCATAGTCATTGGATCGGGTACCACGTTCTGGTATGCTAACAATTTAGGTTTGGGTTCCATGAGAGGACTATTGACTTGTCGTAACTGTGTAACTTGAGAAATGTGAAATTGTACCTTGTTCGTAAATGTTGTTGATATTTTATAGGTTCAGTGTACGCATGTGATTATTATGTTGTAATGGCTTATGTATGTTGCACTTAGTGGGATAACTGCGTGATCCTACCAGTACACTGTGGTTGTGTACTGATACTGCACTTGCTCTTTCTTTTGTTGAGTACAGGGCATCTTCAGGCGGCTATTGACAGACCTCGCTTAGAAGATCAGTGATCGTCGTTCGAATTCAAGGGTGAGCCAGTTCTTCCGGGGCTGCCATGAGTTCTCTTTCTGTCTATGTCCACATTTCGGACTCAGACTAGTTCTTTAGTTAGTCTTATGTTTAGTTTGGGGTTGTATCCCTTCTTGTTAAGACTTATGGTTGAACTTTAGATGTTTTGGTACATTGACTTTCAGGTTCTAGGCGTTATTTTCCGCATTTGTTTAGTTGTTAGACTATTGTTTTGGAGTTTATGGGAACTCCCTATTCCTTTCCTTAGCATTTAACTTACTTCCGTAACTTAAATGCATTAGTATTTTGGTTGAGTTGTTAGTTTGGATTGTAATAATGGTTCTCCCACCGGAGGGTTAGTGTAAGTGTCACCCACGACGGTCTGGGTCGTGACAATCCAGAGTGCTAATCTTGTACAAATTGACATATTTAGTAATAAAGTTTATAGTTACCAAAATTTTTAAAACCGTTTAAATTGATTTGGTTTTGATTTTGATCAATTACCGATTCAAACCTATCCGAAAACGCCCCTAGCTAGAATTAATGATTGAATTATTGACTTGAGTGTTAATTACTGTTTCTATAATTAATTAATGTCACAAACAGTAGTAATATGGTCATGTCAGGGGCGGCTCTTGCAAGTGAAATTTAAGGCATCAAATTTTGTCAATAATGAGCTGTGTAAATTTTTTCCATAGAAAAATTAATCATTTATAATTAAAAAGTATATTAAAATATATGTATTATTTTATTATTCTTCTTAACCTTATTTATATAAAAGAAATTTAAAAAAACATTATTTACCTTTCTATATTCTCTACTCTAACACTCACATTATTTATTCCTTTTAATTATTTTTGCACTCTTTTTTCAATTTTTTGAAAAGTTAGAGTAATATTCTATTAAAAATATGAATTAATAGTCGAAAACGAAAAGGGTAGAAAAAAGTACATTAGCAATAGAATAAAATTAATTATAAATTATTGAAACTATATGTCTAACTTGGTGCTAGTTTAATTGGTCCGCATTAGTCGATATTCCATTTTTTTCATGTATTTTTTCGATATCTATATGGCTAAAACCGATCAAATTGTGAGAAAAAGACTAGCACTTTTCTATGCAATTTCCATTTTGTCTTAAACTGGTACAAGATTTAAATTTTCTGCTTAATAAATTTTTAATGAAAAAAAGAGAGATTTGAGAAAAATTCAAAAATATTTATGATGTGAAACATCATAAGCCTCTTTAGCTAGAGTTTGCCTATTTACGTAGTGTAGCTATACTTTTAATGGCTAAACTGACTCACGTTTGTATAATTCAATTTTTTTTAATTGATTATACAAATTGTTTATTAAGTTATATCTAGTTAGAATTCCTTACCTAATATGACTCTTCTTCTTTTTGAGGAAAAACAAAACATGGCTCATTGTATATAACAATTGTCTATGTATATAATTGAATTGAGTTTTTAAGAAAAATCTATAGTTGAAGTGTATTAG